TAACTTTTAGAGCCAACATGAAGCTCCCGAAAAAGCGCAAGCACCACGTGACCATAGTGGCCAGTCACGTGACAAAAGTGGCCTTTTTTCCGCTAACCACAAATTTCGCGCCGTAAATATAGGTTTAAAAGTTTTTGTTTTTCATTGTAAGTATTGTTTTAGGACATTCTTTTTCCATCTTTTTCCATCATTTCAAATATTTTTTGGCTTTTGCATGTGTTTTTTAGTTAGGTTGATTACGTATACAATAATAAACATACCCACTTCAATTTTGTTGGGTTTTGTACCCCCTCCCCACTTTAGTTACAATATCTTGTCAAAGAGAGATAGAGCTCATGTTGAAACTTCGCCAACTCCCAGAGTTGCAGTGTTTCAGTTCAGAAACCCAGGTGAGACGCGAAAAACGAAAGATTGTACAGTCTTTGGGTTTATTTTGTTTTAAAATTCACGGGAGCTTCCCAGAAATCAGCTATTATTGATGACTGCGAGATGTACATAGCAAACCAAACCTATGAGAATCGTGCGCTTAAAATAGTCTTCATATCTTAACTCATTTCCCATTCAGAGCTTTTCAAAATAAATAATCCCACTTTATTCCGCAAACCTGATTGCCCAACTGAAATATGTAATATTTTAAATGAACCTAAAATGAGGTATCCTTAGCTCCTGGGCATTGAAACAGAAAACAAATAATAACGATCACTCGGAGAACTTGGTTTCTTTAGAACCAAAACAAACTCACCCACTTAAGAATACCTTTGCTCGTACAATTCAAAAAACAAAAAAGACGAACACCAGTTTTGTCAGTCATTAAAATTATACTCTCAGCCGTCCCTGCTTCTGTACTGGCCTACATTGCACTCCCAAAATCAATTATTATTATTTTTTTTATTTCGTATAGCTAATTAGAAGGATATCGGTATCGTGCTGTGATTCGTGTTCAGTCTCAATGGCGAAAGGGCCTGACGCCAATTTTTACCAGTGACGCTGCACAGCCATTGGGTGCTATCCGATTAGCCCTTCTCATTTGCTATACTTTTAGAAAAAGCCAATGATTGGTGTTGCTTTATTACTTGGGTTTCAGCTTGTCGGTCCATTACTGAATAAAAGGTTAAAAAGCGCGAACGAACGGCGTCAATGAAGACAAATGGAGGACCGGACAGGCGCTTCTCCTACGCCTGTTCTGTCATCCGTGTCTCTTCGTTGTCCCCGTTTGATCGCGTTTTTTTAACCTTTTATTGTATTGGTGTTCCTGCCGTGCGTCTTGGAAGGCAGTATACATGCAGGTGCTTTTGAGAGCGCAGTAAGTTCCAAGTCCTGGAGGTAAGACTGACACAATCATATAAAACAAGAACGAACGAACAATGAAAAGGGCGCACGTCTCAACTTCACTCGGCGCTACATAAGCAGACGAGGCTTTTGCTTTGTCCACACCACATGACATGAACTACGTTAACAGACAATAACAAAACAAGGTCACCTTAGCCTTGCAATGTATCGGGGTTTTGGACACTTTCCATTAAAAGCACGACGCACACTTAATTTCTCAGAAAAAAAAACAAAACAAAAAACATAAAGTACACAACCGAGCGACACGCCACAGCGGTTCATGATCACAGACCGACGGCCAGTCCTCGCGGCATTGTCCTTCGCACCAGGACCGACCACAAGAACCGACCAGTACCACCCTGTCCTCGTTCGCAGTCGTCGCACTGCGCGATCAGCTACACGTCGACATGGCGGCCGCCGCCATACAGGACCAGAAGAGGCCGACCAGGCACCACCCTGCGTCCGTCCGTCGTCCGGAAGCAGCCCCGTTGCCCCTGTGCTGCTGCTGTCCCCTGGACGATGACGCCAGCACATCCGCGCCCTTTCGCTGATTCAATACAACCTCGATGTCGTTCTTCGTCAGCTGCACATCATCGTCGTTGCCGGCTTTGTTCTCGTCGGGATCGATGTCGGGATCTGGAGAGGCCCCGTCATTAATCCTGTTACCGGACTCCTCCGCGGCTTCCTTGTCTCCTTTCCCGGCGGCTGTCGGCGGCGGTCGGGCCGAAGCCTTTCGGGTGGTGGAGTGGGCGATGGCGGCGGCGCTGCGGAACTCTGGCCTGGCGTAGTTGGCGGGGCAGCCCAGCTGGCTGGCGCTGAGTCGGGACACCTTGCTGCTGCTCAGGTTGCCGCTGGCTTGGAAGTCGCACTTGACGTGCCTCAGCTCGCGCCGGAGCTTGTCGTTCCTGGTGGCGTTCTCCAGGTGCAGCATCCACACAAGGCGGCAGTCGCAGCTGAACTTGTTGCCTGGAGGAAAACGAGAACCGTTTATCGATCGATTGATTGACAGGTTCACTAATCGGCAGATTAACTGTGTAAGTGACAAACTGCCTGACTGTGCTTATGCTTTTTATGACGTCCCAATTATTATGTACCGCCAGCATCATGGGTTGCATGCACATTTAAAATGAATAAAGACAAAGGATTTATTGTAAAAGTAGTTGTTTGGCTAGTCGCGGATGAATGTTTTCAACCACGGTTGAAAGCCCTAAAAGTACAAACACAAGAGAAAAGACAAACACGGACGCTACCCACAACTCTTTTTGAAAAAAGAAGATAGAAGTGTAAATATATGCAATTCTATTGACGCTTCTATCGACATGTCGATACATTTATCGTCACCTAGGCTACGCATGTGCAGGGATACCCACCCTTCAACCATTTACATAAATGTATTAAACAAACGTATCTCGGCATTATACACTGCAATCGACGCGTCGCTCACGCATTGGGGCCCCCTCTTCCTGATAAAGTACGCCTCTTTGCAGTTCGCGTGCTCTTTCATTCTTGCTTCTACCTAAATCTTGTTGTCACCAAAGCGTGGCTCACATCAGCTCATCCACGCCCTACAGGGCGTGAATGAGGGGGCTTCCCTCAAATACGGTCTTGGCGAAATTGGCAGAGGTCATCCTACATAAAGTAAAAGCCACACAACCAGAAAAGTGACGCAGTCGGCACAGAGCAACATCAGTTTTGAGGTCCTACCATACGTACACAAAATGTCGCATAACCTCAAAAAGGTTGCGAACAGGTATGGAGTGCCTCTTGCGTTTTCAGCTCTCCAGAAACTCGGCCAAATGTGTCCTCGAATGGCTAGTGAAAGCAAAAACGAGCGAGCATGTGGTACGAAGCACGTCAAACCGTATATCGAATGCGTCATAGGGGTCGTGTATGAAATACCGCTAACGTGTGGGAACTTTTACGATGGGCAAACGGCAAAGTGCACCAATGACCGTTAGAGGGTGCGTGCATAACATTTGATGACAAGTGACGGGGCACATTTGCCCACGCACCGCAGGGCCTGCAAATGTGAGTCACGCTTCGGTGACACCCAGATTCTAGGTAGAAGCAAGAATCAAAGAGCACGCGAACTGCAACAGGCGTACTGTATCCCTGCGCATGCGTAGCCTGAGTGACGATAAGTGTAGCAACATATACATATATGTGTGCGTCTATCTTCTTTTTTCGAATACATTTGTTAGTAACGCCCGTGTTTGTCTTCTCTTGTGTTCGTCTTTTTAGCGCTTTTACCATGATTCAAAAAGAATTCATTGGCGAATTACCGTTGCAAACAAATAATATTTAGTGGAATTAAGTTTTGTATAACTGATGCGGGTGGTCCTAGAACGTCAAGTAACTATGTATTGTTCCAACATCCGAGGAAAGGATATTGACCGAAATAGAATAAGTCACCTAGTGTTGATAGTCTCCAAAAAAATAAAATGTTGGGGAGGGGGGGGAGGGGGGGCAGGTGTTTCAAAACGGCTACACTCGGTGTAAAAGGTTTATAGTTTACAACAACAAAAAAAAAAAAAATCCAACAACCGCATCTCCACGTGGTGAATGATGTTGATTGGGACGAAGCTCTGGTGGTGCTTGTCTGCATAGACGCTGAGGCGCAGCATGCCGAGACTTTCGTTCGTTTTCATCCAAGTCACGCTGCGGTCAAATGCTCAAATGCATATATAACCACGTTCCATACCACACGTTCTCTTTCTGACAAGGATGAAAACCAATGAAAGGCTCGGCACGCTGCGGCTCACCGCCTACGCAGACAAGCACCACCAGAGCTTCGCCCCAATCAACATCATTCACCACGTAGAGATACGGTTGTTTTGTAGTTGTTTTTGGTTTTTTTTTTGCCCTACACGAGCACGGGGCCACGTGCTCACGTGCTCGTGACCCGACGGCGGACGGACATACGGACATGGCTAGCCCCTAAGGAGTTTCGCCCCTAAAAGTTGAAAACACGAATACCTCAGAAATTTCGCACATTTCAGGTCACCAAAAATACAGTTGCTAAGTGCGAGCCGATTGGTGAAGCGTTCGTGACATTCTTCTTGGTCACACGCGGAACATTCAATCAAGATGTCCGGAAGCCCAAATGTCCTTCAAAACTATCACGAGATACATCATCAGCTTCCACGCAATAGGTTTTCTGGGAAGTGCAAACAAACCTACAATGCAAGCAGCCATTGGTAAAATTTTAAAAATAAACCTTCTGCAGGAGGCATCATCCTGACGGATGAACTGTTTCGCTAAGAGACTTAGTTGTGTGCCCCTTAAGCCGTGGTCACACGTTGTTCCCTGCAGACATGATGACAAACATTATCAGCAGGCACGCCTCAAGCAGCTTCCAAGCATTTTGCTCCATGCATACTTCGAACATGCAGGCTTCGTACGTACAATGTGACAGCAGAGTCACAACTAAGGTACCCCTCAGACACTGTCTGCACAATGTCTTTTGTATGAAGTATCAGCAGTGTGCCCATGGCTTTAGAGAAACGCTGGCTAGTTTTCTCACTGCGCGGCGTGCCTAGGCGATGCCTAGGAATAAAGTAAGCTATCCTAGAAGCTTAATGAATCAACAAAAAAGGAAACTGGCGTCATTACTTTTTCTACGTAGCTTCGGAAGAAGTACAGCTTACATGGATTCCCTGCTCGCATATGCTCCTGTATGTATATTGCCTCAAAATGCACGCGGAACGTCAGCCATCGATTTCTCTTTAATCAGCTCTGCTAATGAAAAGGGCGAGCGGTTTTGCCAATGAGGATAGCGGACCGTATTGCGTCCCTCCCAGGGGCATGCAGTCACGGTGGCGGGTGCTTTCCAAAAAGAAAATGGAGGTATCATGTTAAAAAGAAGAAATCAGGAAGTGCAACACTAGACCAAAAATATATATAAATAAGAGAGGTAGACGAGGAGATTGGGCATGAGTAAATCGAGAGGGAAGCCTAAATTAGTGCACGGGAATTATTAATTAGCGCGAAATTGTCTCTACACAAAAGCGGTTGTGCTAACCCGGCAAACTTCAACACGTCCAGCAACGGGTCTCGCACCATGCTTAAGTTAACGAGTCCATCCGGTAAATAAGATAATCATCTCTGCAGGAGGATTTCCCATTCTAGCTTCAGAAAATTTGTCGAAGAGCAGGCGACGGTGGCTATTGGATTATACGCGACTGAAAAATATTGTACATTTGTTGTTTGTCATTGTGTCGGGTACAAGAAAGAGTCTCCAAGATACAGAAGCAAAAAAAGCATCCGCCTCTTTCTGCCCCCTCGAGGCAACACTGATTTTATAGCATGATACAAAGCACTTTTCTCATTAGCTGATCCGATTAACCAAAAAGCCACGAAAAGTGTTCCGTGTTCATTTCGGTGAAGAATACAGACGAAGATTTCTGAGGGTCTAGACAAATAAAGAATCACCGAATAGAAAAAAAAAGGAGTCAATTTCTCTTCTTCTTTGCCAATCTCGACCTATGTGTGGTCCGCGGAAACCGAGTTGGAGAGGTATCATAAGCGGGACCAAGGATTTACTGAGTTCACGAAGAAATATTACTTTCCCTCTTCGCCTCAATTTAGGCTTCCGAAAGGAAACGCCTTTTTTTCTTTCTATTCTTTTTTGCCCGGATCAGCGATCGAATCCGGCAGCTCCGGAATGATCCTGGAGGCCGAACAATGCGCCTTCAAGAAAGGAGATTAAATGTAACTCATAAGAAAGAACCTACTTAATTCTTGTTCATTCGGGTCGTGTTTGAGATCATAAAGAAGGCCGACATACGACATCCCCCCAAGTAATCAGAGAGGCGCCGTCTTTTTTCCACGAGATTAGAAGATGAGAAGCGATGGATTTGGCACTTCTCATCGTGGATACGGTTTGATTCGCGCTTCAAATGTGGATCTCAAAAATCTTATAATTCATTTTTATTTTCTATTGTGGTGGATGTTTGGAATATTCTGTTCGAGTATATTTGCGTCTCCAGCTCATTGCTCGCCCTCTCCCGGCTGAAACGAGAAGCGCTGTAGCGGGGGTGCCCCGGTTATCGTGGGCTCCTGGGGACTATGCAAGACGGAGGGACGAAGGGAGCGGGACATTGCTGCCTGCTGCGATTGGTCAGCGCCACAACGCTGACCAATCGCAGCGGGCAATGTCCCGGTCCCATCGGTCCGCCATCTTGAATAACCCCACAGCTCAGCGGGCACGGCGGAACATCTCGCGACCATGGCTCACCAACAGCCAGTCTTGAATGCAAACAGCATTCTTCACTGTACCAATGTAATGTAGCATCCCGTATGGGACTTGAACCACACGGGCTCCTAAATACGAAACATATTTATCCAAGCAAACAAATTATAATTTGAGACACCGGCAGTTTTCAAAACCTAAAATAAGAACTAATTACGGTACACAAAAAGTATTCTACCAGATAACCGATCTTCTTAACAGAAATTATTGTGTATTCGAATTAGCCCAGACAATAGCGTCCATGTTTCTTTTCAAAAAATACCTTACGGTATACTTCAATGTGCGTAGTGTGTATTCCTAGTATAGTTCACATCAAAATAGATTGTACATTTTTTGTGTCTCATATTTTTATCTTCTCAGATATTGTTTTATTTTTGATTTGTGCTGTTTTGATTCATTTCCTGTGCCCTGCTGCTGAGTGCTGTAACGGGGGTTGGGACCTAGTCAGGGGATTCGTTTTCGCCTTTTGTCCCAACCTCCCTGACAATTGTGTCAAAAATAAAAATAAACAAACAAAAAAAAACATTCCAAGAAATTTCTGCGCGTCTACTTATCTGTAAAAATTTTGAAGAGACGACCTCTCCGATCTACGAAATCAGCTCAGCGAATGATGAGGCGGAACATCCGTTTGGACCTGAAAATGAAGTAACACCTTTTGGCGGGCTAGTTGGTTCATGATTTGTAGAAATCAATGAACTGCGCAAAGGACGAGGAC